CTCGCTCTTGCTCAGGCTGGTCTCCAACTCCTGACCTCGAGCGATCCTCCCGCCTCGGCCTCCCCGAGTGCTGGGATCACAGGCGTGAGCCACCGCGCCCGGCCGTGGGTTTTGTTCCTTTCTATTTTTTGAATGCGACTACTGGACAGTCTACGATTGAATTTGCAGCTGGACGCCAGCCCGGTGGGGGCAGGGGGGATTATCTGTGGGCCCCCAGCGCCCAGGATGGGGGCGCACGGCGGGTCTCTGGGTGACGTTTGCAATCGCAGGGTCCAGCGCTGACCTCTGCAGTCTGCCCGGCGTCCAGCAGGGCGCACTGTGGCAGCAGGGCTGTGCCGCCTGGGCGTGGAGCCCGGATCCCCTCCCAGCTCCCGCCCTCCCTGCCGGGACCCCACTGTCCCGCCCCTGCAGCCCCTCCACGGCCAGACCCTCCTGGTGGCGCTGGAGTCCCCTCTGCCGGGTCCACCTGCGCACAGCTGGCGGGAGGACGCTGGGTCTCGGCCACCCTGGGGCATCTGGCTACACCTCTGACCCCGTCCCAGGGCGGCCTGGGGCAGGGCTGGGACGCCTGCCTCCCTCCTCTGCTGCCCAGCGTCAGGGACACTTCCCGGGGCGGCAGTGGGGGGCAGGGCCAGACCCCCCGATGCGTCAGGAAACGCAGGTGGGCAGGGAGCAGAGGGACAAACACACCTGGAGCTAGCGCTGACCCGGGGGCGGCAGGTGTGCCCAGGGCTGCGCCGGGGGCCAGGGGCCGGCGCTGTCCCTCTGCCGTGGGGACCGGAGGCTCGGGGGGCGAGGCCGGGCCGGGTGTCCCGCAGAGCAGACCCCGGCCCGGCCGGTCCCAAAGCCCCGCTCACCTCTCCGCCAGCCCGCGCTTGGTGAGGCCCGAGACGACGATGGGGTCGAAAGCCTCCTCGGTGCCCGAGATGGTGATGCCCAGGGGGCCCCCGTGTCGCTGCAGCTGCACCGTGTAGCTCACCGCGCCCGTGCCGTCCAGCTCGTCTGCAAGGGCGACCCGTGACGGGGGGCCAGGGGGACCCCCCAGGCCCCGAGCCCCGGCGCCCACACTCGTCCGTCCCCCGGTCTGGCCGTCCCCCCGTCCCCGCAGCCACTCCTGCAGCGGTGGCTCCGGACAGCGCAGCCCGGAACCCCGAGGCCACCCTCCGCCTCCAGAAACGTTTCTTCTGCCCAAACATCATTAGCAGAAAAAGACGGAAAAGGGACACGGGAACGGCACCCGCCGCGTGTGACAGCAACGGCGGCACCAATGATGACCTCAGAAGGCAGATTTCCGGGTTTTCTTACAAAAAAAAATACGGAATCTGCCCACAGCGACGCTCTCTCCCAGGGCAGGAGACGTGGCGCCCTTGGGAGTCGGAGATTCAGGCGCCGCAGTCCTCAGCCCTCCCTACTGCCTCTCCGCACCGGGGACCCCGAATGCGGGCTGGGGCCCCCCACACCAGGGGGACCCTGAATCCAGGCTGGGGACCCCCCGCACCAGAGGACCCCGAATGCAGGCTGGGGACCCCCCTGCACCAGAGGGACCCCGAATGCAGGCTGGGGACCCCCCGCACCAGGGGGACCCCGAATGCGGGCTGGGGACCCCCACACCAGGGGGACCCCGAATGCGGGCTGGGGACCCCCCGCACCAGGGGGACCCTGAATCCGGGCTGGGGATCCCCCACACCAGAGGGACCCTGAATCCAGGCTGGGGATCCCCCCGCACCAGAGGGACCCCGAATGCGGGCTGGGGACCCCCGCACCAGGGGGACCCCGAATGCGGGCTGGGGACCCCCCATACCAGAGGGACCCCGAATGCAGCCTGGGGACCCCCCGCACCAGTGGGACCCCGAATGCGGGCTGGGGACCCCCCACACCAGGGGGACCCCAAATCCTGGCTGGGGACCCCCCACACCAGGGGGACCCCGAATCTGGGCTGGGGACCCCCCGCACCAGGGAGACCCCGAATCCGGGCTGGGGATCCCCCACACCAGGGGGACCCCGAATGCGGGCTGGGGACTCCCGCACCAGGGGGACCCCGAATGTGGGCTGGGGACCCCCCACACCAGGGGACCCCGAATGCAGGCTGGGGACCCCCCACACCAGGGGGACCCCGAATCTGGGCTGGGGACCCCCGCACCAGGGGGACCCCGAATCCAGGCTGGGGGCCCCACTGCACCAGGGAGACCCCGAATCCGGGCTGGGGACCCCCACACCAGAGGGACCCCGAATCCAGGCTGGGGACCCCCCGCACCAGGGGGACCCCGAATCCGGGCTGGGGATCCCCGCACCAGAGGGATCCCGAATGCGGGCTGGGGACCCCCGCACCAGAGGGACCCCGAATCCGGGCTGGGGACCCCGAATGCAGGCTGGGGACCCCGAATGCAGGCTGGGGACCCCCACACCAGAGGGACCCCGAATCCGGGCTGGGGACCCCGAATGCAGGCTGGGGACCCCCCGCACCAGGGGGACCCCGAATCCGGGCTGGGGACCCCCGCACCCATGGTGGCCCTCCGAGGTGGCCGGGCCGGCCGTTCCGTACCCGAGTTGTCCTCGTCCTTCTGCACCTTCAGCCGCACCAGGTCCTCGCAGCCCCCCAGGATCTGCGCGGCGTCCTCCATGGGGCGGCCGTCCAGCCGCACGCCGTCGATGGCCAGCAGCCGGTCCCCCGGCTCCAGGCTGCCCGTCCTGCGTGAGGAGGGGCGGGGGACGGAGGGCGCCGGGCGTGCAGGCGCCAGACCCGCCCCCGCCGGCCGCGTCCCCGGCCCCGCGCGCCCCCACCTGTGCGCCACGCTGCCCTTCTTGACGTCGGCGATGATCAGCGGCTGCCCTCGCCGCCTGCTGGCTGCCGGACAGAGGGAGGCCGTGAGTCCTCCCTCCTGGGCCTCCGCCTGGGGGCGGGACGCGGCCGGGCCCAGGGCTGGGCGTGGAGCTGGAGCCTCGCGTCCCGCTCGCGTCCCGGTCCCACTGCCCCCTGGCCGGGTGACTGCGAGCAAATCAGCTCCCCGCTCCGTGCCTCAGTTTCCCCTCTGCCAAATGGGGGTGACATCTCGGATGTCACGGGGACGCGGGGAGATTCAAGTGGGGAAGGCGGGCGCCAGACCAAGCGTGGCTCCTGGCACCCGGCCGGTGGCCGTCAACACCGGCCCTTTCTGTGTCCGGCGCGGCCCCCGCAGGCTGCTCCCGGACGGGCCGTCCGGCCGGCGTCTGCGTCCCCCGCACGGGCCCCGGGCCAGCACCCGGGGCTCTACGTGTGCCAGCGTGTGGGGGACACAGCAGCGGGGGGCGGCGTGGCATCTCACTCCTGCGCACTCCCTTTCAAAAGCAGTTCCTCCCTTTTCTTCCACGCGCACAAATTAAGCGCCTACTGTGTTCCTGGCCTCGCTGGGGCTCTGGGAACACAGAGGCAGACAGAACACCAGGCCCGGCCCACGCGTGCCGTGGGACACCCCCAAGGCCAGGAGACCCATTGTGCGGAATGAGAAACTGAGGCTTGGAGAAGCCGGGGTCTCGCCCGCGGCCGCTCCCCCCGGCTTGGCAGGGCTCCGTCCCCCACCGCGCGGCGGGCTGTCCCCGGGAGGCGGCCGGGCCACTCACAGCTAATGGTGATGCCCAGCTCCACCCCGCGCCGCTTGGGCAGCTTGACGTGGAAGGTGCCGCTGCTGGGGATCACGGACTCTGGGCGCAAACAGACGTGGACGGACGTGAGACCCGAGGGAGGGGCCCAGGGGAGCCCCAGCCCCCCGCTGGGAAGAACCCCCCCGAAACTCACCATCCCACCCCCCTCCCGCTCCTTCCTCCTGGCAGAGGGGGAAACTGAGGCACGGTGAGCAGATAAGCTCAAAACAACTGTCAGGGCCGGGCGTGGTGGCTCACGCCTGTGATCCCAGCACTCTGGGAGGCCGAGGAGGGAGGATTGCTTGAGGCCAGGAGTTTGAGACCAGCCTGG